GTTGGGCTGAGCAAGTACTACTCATAGTCTCTAGGGTATGACTGATGGCTTTACCAATATTTAGGACATTTTTTGATTTGTTAATAATCATCCCTATATTTGCATTAGGAAATTCAGTTCGAGGCCCAATATATAATATAGGAAAATGCTACGGTCCTATCATCCCTATATTTGTTAATAATATAGGAAAATGCTACGGTACCCTAATGATTTGTTAATAATCATCCCTATATTTGCATTAGGAAATTCAGTTCGAGGCCCAATATATAATATAGGAAAATGTTACGGTACTATCCCGTCAGGTGTTTTAATAACTGGATCCACGTGTATTTAGATAAGATAGATGATCCAACAGTCACCCGACCGGATGGTAGAGGTACCGTAACGAGACCGTAGCATTTTTCTATAATATATATATCCTCCTATATATTAATTCAGAACGCGCTGAGCCTACGTGACTACTTCTGGTGCTTCGTAATCTTATGTGGCAAAATTACATGCTTCGTTATTAGGCTTGGATAAATTTTAATTCAATTCCAAACCAAAAATAATTAGGTTCGGATTACCATAAATATTTTGATTATTTATGGTCATGTTACATGTATTAATTGCATTTTATTATCATTTCTTATTATAACTATTGAATTTGTATATATATTTTAAAAGTTAATAACTTTTGTATTTTTTATCAGTTTTACATATGTATTATATCAAATTAATCTTCTTTTGATGAGCTTCGATTTAACATCCATATTGTATGTATAAGGAAAATAATTTATATTTATCTTTATAACAATAATAAAATTATTTTTAATATTAATTGGAAAAATAAAATTATTTATCAACTAATATATTTATATTTCAAGTAGTTGTATGATATAAGTTATAAAAAACTAATATAAGATAACACATGTAAGTCATAAGTAACACATATCATTCTAAAATATATAGTAATATATTTTTTTTTGTATAAAAGTAAACTAAATTTAATATAGTTTTCTCATTAATTTTAAAATTTAAGAATAATTTTTTAACAAGCACTCGTGTATTTGTACTAGTATATATATATATATGTATATATTGACACAAATAATGAAAAATTGATAGGTAAGTGAGATTATTGATTTCAAAGATGAAATAATGTGAAAAAAAATACTATGTAGCATAATTAGAACACGACCGAGTTGTTCGTGAACTCAGTTTGACTAGATAGGTAATAGAAAATTTCATGTAACTTTTTAATCTGACTCGTTAAAACTCGACCTCATCTTGTTAATATTGATAAATAAATTAAAATAGTGTTCATTTTGTTAACATGTAGAGCTCAACTCGATGAATGATTTGAAGTCGAGCTCGAAAATCAGAAGCTCGGCTCGTTTACACCTTTAAACACGACTCAGTTGTTTCTAATTTTTTTTTGTTTTGAATTAACGTTCCCAATTTTTTTTAAGCTAAACTTATAAGAAATGTTAAACACATATCTACAATGAATCATCAAAATTTATATCAACCTTGTTATTATCCATCTCTAATTCCAAAAGAGCGTCTATCCTAACGGGAGGGGTATTCTAGTAATTTCAGAGAACCCCGGTTTTGAAAAACCCCTTTTCACCTGCTATTAAAACCCTAACACAAGTTGCAGACAGTCTTCAAATTTTCTCTGTTTCAGCTTTCTTGTTCTCCAGGAAAAGAAAAAAAACCAAGATAATGGCCAAGCGTCTGCTCCCACTTTTCAACCGCGTGCTGGTTGAGAAAATCGTTCCGCCGTCCAAAACCACCGCCGGGATTCTCCTCCCGGAGAGCACCACCAAGGTAATTTTTTTTTTTTTCGATTTGTACGCCTGTGTTTATCTTATTTAGCTGACGTTTGGTTAACCTAATTTTTGTTTGTGGTTTGTTTTTGAGATTTCGAAACATGTTTAGAGGTTAATCTTTGTTGGGCAGGTGAACAAAACGGTAATGGGTCGGTGTTTTTTGGTTTTATTTTTCATTTTTTTAACATTTTTTTTTTTTTTTGGATCTGCTGTGATGCTGAATTTGGATGTTGTGTGGTTGATCTCTTGTTTACATATGAATTTCCATGCCTTTTTTGATTCTTTATTGTTTGATCTGTTTAGCTTAGGTTTTCTTCTCTAATGTACTGATTTTGATTTTAGCGTTTTGCTTGCTTGCTTGGTTGCCGGTGAATATGTAGCATTATGAATCTTGTTTATTGAGTTGTTTGCAACATGTAGCATTGTAATTTTATGTATGATATAACGGTTACAAACCCCGACGAAATGGTTCCGTAACGGGACCGTAGCATCTCCCTGAATATTGATTACACTCACTTACTGGAAATCTTAAATGAGCTAGAGCAGAACAAAAGATAAACTGAAGTCATTGGCAACTACATTATTTTCGTGGTGGGTCTTATATGTGAAACTTCTTTGTTTAAAAGGTATTTAGCATAGTTTGTTTTGTGGATGGTTTTGGTTATTCCTTACCTGATATGTTTGGTCGACGTAGAACACAGAGAAATTATGATACAAGACTATCCGAATTTCAATGTACCACTCGAAAGTCTAATTTCCTCGAACTTGTTATATTCTGATTTCTTCTTGATGATTAACTATCAGTAGGATCTCATTTTATCAAGCTTAATTTTGTTCTACTCTACTTTAGTGACCAGCTGTTTGGAGCTCGATCTTTTGATGAAAATTATAATTTTACTATACTGAAATTTGATCTTTTTAATCTAATGAACTTCAGCTGAACACTGGAAAAGTTGTTGCTGTGGGTCCCGGTTATCATGACACGGAGGGCAAGATTATTCCGGTGAGTTTGAAAGAAGGAGACACTGTTTTGCTGCCCGAATATGGAGGTTCTGAGGTGAAGCTTGGTGACAAAGCGTAAGTCGTTGGTCTCTCTTTGTCTTTATTTGTGTGTTTGTGTTCTTTGTTCTGAATTGAAAAGGTTAACTTGTTCGTTAATTATGACAAAATGTTTGCCTTTTCTTTTCTCGTTCTCTTTTGTTTTCTTTGAATGTACGAGTGAGTCATGTTATTTGAGCTTTTATATATGAGATTAAGAACTTATTTTGTGATCAATGTTTTAGGTACCATCTTTACCGAGACGAAGACATTCTGGGAACTTTGCACGACTAATTTTTCCCATATTATTTCCATCTCAACTAATTATTATGAATGATTAATGAGAACAATGTCTAGTTTAAGGTTTTTCATTTTATCGGTTAGTCTTTCGAGTGTGTTTTTAATGACTGCAGCAAACCAGTGAATGCTCTTGATGGAAATGTTTGGTTTTTATTTGAGACTCTATTGGAGAATTAGTGAGCTGGAATCTAATGTTGAAGTTGAAGTATGTTGTGTTTTTGTTCTTTGTGGCCTTTACAATTGATTTTTACATGTATGATTTTGGGGAATTAATATTGACAAGTTTCGAGGTCTTATATATAGGCTAAGATTCACAAGTACAAAAGAGTATGATGCATGTCAAAGCAGTTGATTTTATAGAATATTCACAGCTACAAATTTGATGTCTTTAACATCCTTTGTTCAGTATATGAGTTAATACTCGCCTTTTACGATATTTTACTTCATAGCTTGTAAGTCGACGTCTTCCTCGGGTATTCTGTAATACATAATAATTGATTGAGATTTGAAACTGAGACTAAGGTACTGTGTAATACATGATAAAAACGAGCTGCTAAAATTAACATCAAGGCCCCAAAAAACAAAATCACTCCACACACTCTTTCAAGAAACTTCAAACAGTACACCAAGAAATCACATAACTCAAAATACATTAATTATTCATCTGCCAACTCTTTAATTCTTATGCCATCAAGCTCCATTTATATTTGTCGAACGAGTGATTGATTTAGTTATTCATTCACAACCGGCAATGATTTTCCTGCCAAAAATGAGGTGAACATAAGAAGAGACCTCTCGGGTTGCGAGAATGGAGCCATGTGTGAGGCCCCACGTATGGTCGCATACGATAGATAGTCACCGTAGGATTGTGTCCAGCCAGCAACCTATAAAAGCATCAAAAGTTCTGTTTTTTTTAGCCCATGTGATTTGCTTGTACATAAGCATTAAACTTTTCAGACACATATATATGAATTTCAGACCTGTTTTGATTCCAACCAAGCTCTGTACGGTTGAGTGGTGTTCAAACCGAGCTGGTTAGCCAACTGGTTAACTAGCGTTCGGGTCCCCATCAGTGGGATAATAGAATCTTGGTCCCCACTATACAACATTTACGCAATATTAGTTTTCGATTCTACGGTAAATTTCGCCAAGTGATCATTAAATTTAATTATAAACCCGATTGTGAGGGCTTACCTGTAAACTAAGGCTCGGATGTTGGACTTGACTAGTGATCCTATAATGTCGATGGTCGGTGTTTCTATATCTGGCACGTAATATTCTACAACACTGAAGTCAAACAAATGAAATTAGAAGCACGATCCAAGAAAATATGGGAAAGATGTTAGATTTTTTTTTTTTTTTCTTATTTTTAAGGACAAATTGGTTCTAATTCAAGTGTTTCAAAAGTTATCTTTTCTATCGACACTATCTTTGTGGCGTCAAATTGCGAAGCTCGTATATTTTCATTTGAAGTGAGAGGAAACAATTACTCGCTGCACATGCTCCATTCATTTACTCCACGAAGACGAGCATGAAGAGCCATTTGCACGTCTTTTCTGTTCAGGTACACATTCGCTTCATCCTCTACACATACATCTATCTTCGACTCATATTTCTATGAACACAACATAAAAAAAAAAAGAAGAAGAATAGCATGAATGAATGTGCATTTGGGTATTTATTTTGTTTTTTTGATAAAAGATGGTAAAATTAAAGACTGCGTCATTTCGAACAAAAGCTAGTAATCACTCGTTTTCAGCATTTGTAAACGCAACCTAAGTGAAATCGAACTCACCAATTTATCGAGAACCTGAGCTTGCAACATAGCAGGCGACGGACAAACATCAAGACTGACATCATAGTAATCCACAAAATTACTTATCTCGGATGAATACAATTTCCACACCCTTTCGCATTCAGGTGTTGTTGTGTTAGCGTAATACTGGCTTACTATTTGAGAATAATTGCACACGGAAGTCAATTGGTTATATGTGGAATCGGATATCAGACCGTGAGACCACCAAAACTCGGCCCTCGAGTTGTAATCTCTACTGAAATTTAAAAGAGGATTTCCTATCTGTTTACCATTAGCAAAAACAAAGATAATGTATCAGCAGCTTTATTTCTTTATATATAATATTAAGGATATTGATTTAAAAGTTACTCACTGCAATTCCTTTGAGGTTGAACTTATTAGCTTTTGTTTGAATAATGAGGCTGGCCAGTTGTGGAACATAATGCCCTGTTTAGAAAAAGAGCATGTCATTTTCATTCTCATATGACTTTTAATAGATGATATTATCACTCAACAACATAAAGATGAAAATAATATAACCTACCTGCATAACTTTCTCCAGTGATGTAAAGTTCTCTATTCATAAATTCCGGGAATCTTTCGATCCATTTCTCTAAGAACTTGAGGTTATCTCTAGCTAAAAAGAACAACAAACAAACTTAGACTAAATAACTAGCGGTTACATAAATTACATTACACGAAACTGCGAATTGTTTAAAAATGTCTTAATGGTGTTAAGGCCACAAAACCTGTGATTTCGTCGTTAAGATAATTGTAGAAGGATTCATTAGTAGAATACGAAAATCCAACTCCAGCTGGTGATTCCAAGTACAACATATTTGCAACTGTAAAAAGTTTATTTGGTATTAAAACAACCATCACCTATTAATCAAGAATGTAGCAATTAACTAATTTTACCTTTATTCCAGCTGCAGTTATTTCTAACCAAAACATTCCCACTTGGTTGAAATGGACCATTTTCAGTTAATCCTCCACCTCCAAGAGACGAGCAGCCGGGCCCTGTAAAATCGAAACCATTTCATTGTTTTCACTACAAAAACAATTGTCATAAACACGAAATGAGTTATTTCATCTGACGTGACATACCTCCGTTTAACCAGAGAACAAGAGGCTTTGAATTAGGCTCGGTTTCTGCTTCCACAAAGTAATAAAAAAGGTATCTTTCCTGGCTTTCGTCGACATTAATGTAGCCTGAATATTGCAGGAAGTTGGCATTTGGTTGGCCAGGTAAACTTGCTATCTTATCACCTTCTTTTGATTGGCACACCACTTTTGTGATCATTGCAATATTATGAAATGCACATATTATTAGCAAGGTTACTGCCCATGCTTGAGTTGTCATTTCGTGAGACTTGAGGGGCAGAATTGAAAATTTAAGATGTTTTTGGTTAGAGGTGATTTCATTAAGGTGAGAGGTGTAAGACTTTTTATACTTGAAAATATTTGTGAAAATTACTGTTTAATTTCATGCATGCTTTTGGTAATAATTTCGGGCAAAAAAGTAAGCGGTTTTGTTATGAAGCCAACAGTTGGCTCCATAATGAAGCCAACTTTCTATATATAACAAATAAACGTACCATATTTCTTAATTATTTAAATAACACTAATATAATTTTATTAATATAGTAGATTTACTTGTTGTATATAGAAGGTTGGCTCCACTATAAATAAGGATGGCAGCGGTTCGGGTTCGGATCGGATGGAACCTCAGGGCACCCAAAACCAAAACCCAAACTTAAAAACCAAAACCAAAACCAAAACTGTTTCGGGTGAAAATCCTTCACCAAAACCAAAACACGCGGATACCCAAAAACCAAACGGATACCCAAAAAACCAAAAATATTATAATAAAACACCAAAGACAACAACATAAAACATGATAACTTAGAGAGTACCAGACAACCAGTCACAAATTAGCAAGTACCAACGTACAGTACAAGCCATAAAGGTAGTAGAGTACATAGCTAAGCCAAGCCATCACGGGAGACGGGGAGATGATAAGAGGGAGAGGAAATTTACACTTATATAGCTAGGGTTTTTGGTGGGCTTTTTGATGGGCCGTCAATTTTGGGCACCCAACAGAGCACCACGGGCGAAATATAGGATCCGCACCAAAACCGAAGACTTTCGGGTACCCGAAACCGCAAAACCGTGGGTGAAATTTGAGAACCAAAACCGAAAACCGCAGAACCAAAAACCGCGGATATCCGAACCGAAACCGAACCGCTGCCATCCCTAACTATAAAGCCAACAGTTGGCTTCAGAGCAAAACCGATAAATAAGTTTAATTCACTGTTTTTTTCTTCAAAGAAGATATTTTCAGATTTTCTATTATTACAAACTTGTCCGAGTACCTTTAAAAAATTATTTTTTATTATTTTTTAGAAATCATACCAATAAAAATATGATCTAAAAGTCAATTAGTTTGAAGCTTGGTGACAAAGCGTAAATCTTGGGTCTAATTTAATTCCCATAATATTATTTTCATCTCAACTAATTATTATGATTTCATTAAGGTGAGGTTTAGGGCTTTTTATACTTGAAAATTATTGTGAAAATTACTGTTTAATTTCATGCATGCTCTTGCTAATAATTTTAATTCACTGTTTTTTTCTTCAAAGAAGATATTTTCAAATTATCTATTATTACAAACTTGTCCGAGTACCTCTGAAAAATTAATTTTTATTATTCTTTAGAAATCGTACCAATCAAAAAAATGATCTAAAAGTCATATAGTTTGAAGCTTGGTGACAAAGCGTGTTGGGTCTAATTTCCTACATTTTTCATCTCAACTAATTATTATGATTAATGAGAACAATGTCTAGTTTAAGGTTGTGTATTTCCCCTGCGATGCATGAGACAAAAATATTAAATAAATTATTGTCACATGTATTGTCCATTTAAGTTTAAAGAGCAAAAGAATATCATATATTTTGCACCTCCTTTAATCAGTTGTAAATCTAAAACACAATAGAGTTATAATCTATTTTACACCTCTTTTAATCAGCGTTGTTTTTTTAGCCAGAACATTAAATATGAGCATGTTAGGACTAGCTTATAAATAATTACTATATTATCTCAGCAACACATTTATACTAATATAAATTTGATTTTAGTATATATATATTTATTCATTGATATAAGATAAAATAACAGTTTTACTCATTCTTGTCATTATTATTTATAAAAGTTATATAAGTTCTAAGTCTTCTTTTTCTTTTTATTTTATGTAATGAAAAATATTTAATGCATGTTAGTATTATTTATTTATATAATTAATTTAAAATATGTAAATCAATTTTAAATTAAATAGTGCATAAATATTTTACAAAATATACACATATGTTTTTTAGAATTTAATTATATATACTAATTAAACAACATTGATTTAGCAAATGTCAAAAAATTCACTTGCTTCTATAATCAAGATTTTTCTAATTTGCATTATAAGTATAAATAGTTTATTTAGCATACCCCACACATGCAAATATATTTTACAAGAATTTCATTATAGAAAGAAATCGAAATAAAAGAGAATGATAAAAAAAATAATAATAATGGTTGCCAATAACGACGGCGCTTTGCGACGCGAAAATTTTGAATTTATAATTTTTCATCGATTAACCTCTACTAATTAGTAGTAACGGTGAGTAAGGGTCGATCCCACGAGGAGCATGAATTAAATTGTGACTTTCGTATTAATTGAATTTAAACTAGGAAAGCAATACAAGATGGGGGATTGAATTTATAAAACTAAAAAATAAATTAACAAAATAAAATAAAAATCAATTAAAATAAGAGAAGTCCAGTTTTCGGTTCAGTTATCACCCAATCCCAATCTATCATTAATTAATTTCGACGCCTTTTTTAAATTGCTAATGAATTACCAACCCTAGCTAGCGACAAGCTCTGTTAACCGAGTTTTCCCTTACCGATTATTTAATCGAAATAGGCTCTTCGACTAAACCTAACTAGTGGACAACCTAGAATAAACTCTCTATATTTAATACCCTAGCAAAATTAATTCCTAGGAAAAAAGAATTAGTCTAAGCAATGGGCGCAAAATCTCGGATCATTTAACTTATGTTCACGCTACCCTAGAGATGCACGACCCATAGTTTACGAAACGAGAACAATAACAATTATGAATTAAAATCTCGAATCTAGCAACTAAACTATAAATATTTAACGTAACCGGCCGAACTAAATCAAACACCATAATTCAACAACAATATACACAGATAGCATGAGGTAACTCATCAACATAAATAAGTACGACGTCTAGATTAATCAACGATAAAGATCCTCAAATTCATAGACAAATTCAAGTTAAGGTTCAAACATCCCCTACAACTAGATAACAATACTAGCCTAACATACTAATAAAAAAAATAAAAGATAAAAGAAAGAGAATAAAATTCTCTCTCGGGTGCGGGTGCTCCTTCCCTCCGCGTGTGTAGCCCGACTCCTTTTTTATATATGTCTGCGACTCCTCTGTATGATTTTCTGCCCGTGCGGCCTTTCTAGACTTTTTTTTTTCCAAAAAATTACCACCCAATTAGACTTGGCCAAATGATGGTCCGTGATCCGGCCCGGCCCAGTCCGCCGGGTCGACGGTCCTCAATTTGATGGCCCGTGATCTGGCCCAACCATTTCTATGGGACGGTTCACTGAACCGGTCCTGAACCGTCGGGTCATCGACTCGCTAGTTTTAAGCCGGTTCAGATCCGGCCTGGCCCTTAAAAAAATATAAAAATTACAAAAGGCCACCTGTCTTCTAGCCCGCGACCCGGCCCAGATCGTTGGGATAAAAAAAAATAAATAAATAAAAGAACCGGAACCGATCCATATAGCCACAGTTCCTGTTCACTGAAAAGGCGTAATTCGGGCCAGTTGAGGGCCGGGACCGGTTCGGTGCCGGGACAACGAGTCGGGTCGGCCCTTGGCCATGTCTACATCCAATTCCGTAAGTAATTGTAACAGATATTTTTGGAAGATATCTTTTATGCTTATCTTTGGTAACTAAATATTTGATTTGATATGACTTTATCTCTTGTCATCTCTATATAGTCTTTGTAAACTCTTTCTCCGATCAATACAACAGTTCTCTCTTTTCCCTACTACTATGTTCTCTTTTATGTTCTTAGCATGGTATCAGAGCGATGAATTTCGCCGCAGACTGCATACCTAATTTTTTTTTTCCACTATCATCATATTTTTTCTTGTCTCTCTTTCAACATGTCAACCAACACCGAATCTCAATCAAAATATAAAACAATCTCACCATACAATATCACGTCGAGTGATAATCCCGGATGCTTGATTTCTACGGTTCTCCTCACAGGCCAAAATTACATCGAATGGTCCTCTTCGCTTCGTACGGCTCTCCGGGCACGCAAAAAGTTCGGTTTTCTCGATGGTTCTATCTCCACACCGGCCGACAACTCTCCGATCCTCGAAGATTGGTTCGTTAATAACTCGATGTTGGTCTCGTGGATAAAGAATACGATCGATCCGGCACTTCGACCCTCCATCCCGCAAATTGAACTCGCCAAAGAATTGTGGGATCATCTTCGTCACCGTTTCTCTATTGTTAACGACACTCGAATTCAGCAATTGAAAGGCGAATTGGCTTCTACAGTACAAAAAGGAATGACTATCAGTGCATACTATGGCAAGTTACGCATGTTATTTGATGAATTGAATTCATATCAACCACCGATCGCGTGTACCTGTGGACATTCCCGTGAATTCGAAGCTCGTCGAGATGCAGAAGAAACCTACCAATTTTTATTGGGGCTGGACAAAGAGGTGTACGGGTCGACCCGCTCTGGTCTTTTGGCCCAAGATCCTTTACCCTCTTTCGAACGGGTCTACTCTGTGATCTCACAGGAGGAAAGGCTCTCATCTCCATCTGCTCCCGCCCTTCTCGGTCTTCTCGCCAGTGCAATGTTTGTGGCCGATCTGGACACGACGCCGCTGCTTGCTATCGGGTCAAAGTCTGCCCCCATTGCAACAAGACGGGTCACGATCCACGCCGGTGTTTTGAAGTTGTTGGCTACTCTGCAGGTTGGTCCGGCAAGTCTCCAGCGACTCCGTCTACCGGCGCATCTTCGGCGGGACAAGGCCAATCGATCGGCACCTCTTCATCTGCTGGGCATGACCGCCGACTTATTCCTTCGGTCTCTGCCAAAGCTAATGCTGCCACTATTATTGGGACAAAACCTATTGGGCCTGGTCCTGTTGGGCCAAATGTTGCTAATTCTATCCAATTTGGCTCTT